CTGCATTGGTTAAAGCGTATGGGGCTGTCACGTGATGAAGGAACGACTCAAACCCGAAGACTCGATGGATGAACTAATCAATTCTCTTTCCGGCTCAGACTGCATTGGGTAAAGCGTATGGGGCTGTCACGTGATGAAGGAACGACTCAAACCCGAAGACTCGATGGATGAACTAATCAATTCTCTTTCCGGCTCAGACTGCATTGGTTAAAGCGTATGGGGCTGTCACGTGATGAAGGAACGACTCAAACCCGAAGACTCGATGGATGAACTAATCAATTCTCTTTCCGGCTCAGACTGCATTGGGTAAAGCGTATGGGGCTGTCACGTGATGAACGAACGACTCGGAAAACCCGAAGACTTGTCAGATAAGAGGTGAGGTGAGCTAATCATAGACTGAAGACCCAGGTAAACAATGAATTCATCTTTTCTGTTTCTTATTGCAGTTTTGTATTGTTTGTAGTGTGATCAACCTTTGCGGTAAGTAGACGTGTCAGGGAAGTAACACGTAACATTTTAATTGTATTTTGCTAAAATGAACTAAATGACTCGAAAAAAGATTTGTTCATTTTGCTGAACGAGACTCAACGGTCCGAGTCGGTAGAATGATCCGAACTTCCCATCACTAGTTTTCATGTTTTTGTCTCGTCGCTCCGGCCGGACACGGCATCACCACAGTATGGTGAGGGGCGTAACATTTCCGTCTCACGCTTGAGGTATTCAGCCAATCACAACGCATTGGATAGCTGGCCAATCACAGCACACCTCGCTTTTCAGACCGTTAAGCTTTGTAAAAATCGACGAGTTTCAGAAAGGCGGGGCATAGAGGAGAAACAATAATGTAAAGTATGTGGAAAATAATGTGTTTTTTAAACTTTAAACCGCATAAACACATTTCATTACACCAAATACACAAAATAATGTTCTTTTTAGCAGCATCATATGACCCCTAAATTGCTAAAAATGTTCAAAAAAGCGTCTATTATATAATCTCCATGTCTGATGTTGCCAATAATTAGAGATGCATTGAAATTTCGGCTGCTGAAAATTAGTTCACCGCTCAGTAGGGATGGGTGGATCGATCCTTAAGTATCCTCACATAAAAATATCGATTCTAAAGTGCATTTTTTTAAACATTCATTTTATTTACTTAATCAAGAAATTCGATGCATAAATTAAGCTTCTAAGTGGAAAAATGGACTATATTAGCGAATAATTGTGTTGAATAGAACCATTTCTCCTGCTCATTGGAACACATGCAAATGCTGAAAGACAGAACCAGCCAATCACAGACAGCGTTCGCTGCGGACGCATGGCTCAGAGTGCTTGTTCAAATAGGGCTGCGTTTCCCAAAAGCATCAGAAGCATTGCCACATTAATACATTACATTGCATTGTTACTATATATAAAATTAATTCTGAAAAATGCATCACGGTTTCCACACAAATATGAAGGAGCAATAATAATAATAAATGTTTCTTGAACAGCAAATATTAGAATGATTTCTAAAGGATCACGTGACACTGAAGACTGGTGTAATGATGCTGAAAATTCAGCTTTGATCACAGATACATTTTAAATTACATTTTAAAATATATTAAAATAGAAAATAGTTATTTTTAATTGTTATATTTCTCAAATATTGCTGCTTTTACTGTTTTTAAAAAGGCATATGAAATGTTAAAAAAACATGGCTTTAAAAGCTAATATTAAGTGAGTATAATTACTGATTATATATTCTTTCAATAATTTAAAAGATCAGTTTAGTTTAGAAGTATCGGTATCGATATCGACGATACTGGGCTTGAAAATATCGGTATCAGATCGAAAATAAAATAAGAGGTATCAACCATCCCTACCGCTCAGGTTTCACTTTCACGTGGTGTGACGCTCTGTGTATTATCCCGCTCTATGCGTGTGGACTTCGCTCAGCTCCACTCGTATACCGTTCATGCTCATCGGAACAGCAAAGTCCACTCAAAAATTGAGCCGACAGGAAACATCGATGTAGTACAGTATTGTTTCTGTCTGCAATAGCCCTACTGTGTTGTAACATGGTGTAGTATATGGGCAACTCTGGTAACGCTGCCCTCTCATTCACTGATCTGCTAATCACTATGTTATGCTTGCGTGTTCTGATAATAATAGCTTTCTAGGACTAAACATTATTTGGATAATTGGTAAAACATTTTTTTAAATATCTTAACCCTACTGTTAGACCTACCTGAAAAACTAAAAAGATATTTATTTAATTCAAAGGCCTGTCGTTATTTTTTATTTGTGCTATCATTAGTAATTTCTTTATTTGTTATTATTTTATTACTGACTGCTTACTTGTCATTTTTTATTCAATTCAAAATTTGAAATCAAGCTATCTCGTGCTACTGCACCAAAATTACCCCACTGTAAAATAAAAAAACACTGAGTGAGCAAAAATGTGTGCGATAGCTAGTTATAATGGTAATTAAATAATGTTTACATATGAATAAAAGCCTACATTAAAATCTGTCATATAAATTGGTCTCTTCATTAGAAATTAGCCTACTGATTGCCACCATTGATGGACAATTTTTAATAATAATATGAAAAATATCTGTATGACATTATATTCTGCAGTTCTTCCCTGTTGTACCGAATATCTATACTTTTCAAATTATCATATCGAAGTTAGAAATTCAAATATTGTGACACAAGTAATTTTGTAGGGTGCCACAAGTTTGTTAAAATTTCCAAAGGGTGCCGCGACTAAAAAAAGTTTGGGAAACACTGCTCTAAATAACTCATTTACCTCTCTGCTTCTCAATTTCCCAAGTTCTGTCTGTATGACAAGTGACCACCTTCTTGACATAATTGATGTTCATCATATGATTGCATGACCTCTTGTTGTTAATTATCTGTAGTTCTTTGTTGTCAACACTTGTTTGTCTGATTGTCTGGTGTATTTTGTTTGCCAATTCCTTGTATTATTTTGTAAAGCATCCTTGGGTTCTTGAAAGGCACTATATTTAAAAAAATAAAAAAATAAATTGGAATTCCTTATGATTTGTGTTTGATGAGAAATAAAACTTTTGTTTTCTGTTTTCTGGTGCATTCATCAGTGTCTTTGCAAAGATACACAATCAAACTGATGTGACAGACAGTGATTAACCTCATTCTTTTGTCTCTATACATAGAGACACATTTACATAGCTGGGTGAACATAATCGCCTGATTTTGTAAATGTGGCCAATTACATTTGCATTAAGCACCCACTTTGCACTTGTCTATAATTTAAATGAATAGCTTACATTTACAAAATGAGCCTACAATAGCAGAAATATAAAGGCTCCATGCTTTACAGTTTCTGTGTATGTGCAAAATAGCAGTGTGTTCATCCTGCCTTGTGTTTTTCATCTAACAGTTGACACATTCAGCATTAATGTGTGAGATCTCAGTAAAGAAGCAGAACTGGTGTTTTGTGTTCACTGTTTGATCCTCATGATTCATCCAGAGCTAAACACTAGAAACGAGCCCAGAAAGCTCAATGTGGACATCAGACAGACATGCCGTCCTCATGTATCTGCTTCACTCAGCTCACTTTCTGAAGTCACTTCACTTCACTCTGAACTGAAATCAGATTTCTGCTGACTCTATATCAGGGGTGCCAAACTCATTGTCACTGAGGGCCACTTCAACGTTATGGCTGCCTTCAAAGGGCCGGTTGTAACTGTAAGACTGTACAAAAGTCACAACTCCTTAACATATTGTTAAATTACTGTCTCTTTATTTTATTATTACTTATTTATGTTACAAAGATATGCATTAGAATAGATGTAACAATAGTAGAATAGTTAAGAAATCCACTTTGCTCCATAAATCAAAGTACATAACAAATGACAAATATCATCAAGCACAAGTCATTACATTAAGTTTGTTATAATTGTGAGCTACTAAGAATGTGTGACAGATATGCCATTTAAAGAAATTAAAATGCGTATCAATAGCATGATTTTCTGTTTCTATTTGGCGTGTGATTTAAACTCAGAAATTGACTTTAGTGTGAAAATGATACACAATCAGTGCTTGAAGTGAAAAAAACAAGTGGCTATATTCAACCCCACAAATAAATAAATGAATGCTGTCAATCGGTTAAAAAAATTAACTAATTAATTACATGTTTTTTTCTGAAATTAATCGCGATTAATCCCACCTAACATTAAATTTAAATATACATTTATATTGTAATAATTTCCCATTTAATCTTCAAATTAATGTAGAAACAACATAAAGACAGTATATTTGTAATATTTGTTTAATGACTGAAGGCAAGCACTGATAACAATACTACTGATTCCTCTATAAAATTGTTCTTTTGTCCTTAATATTTAGTCCAGCTTTCTGTCTGTGGAGCGGGACCTTCATACTTAAAACAGCAATAGACGCAATGTAAATGGTTTAGTGTGAATTGGCCTTTTGGGCCGCAACTTTTCAGACACATATAGATTTATTTTGCATCTCAAGAAGCTACAATGATAATGTGTCTAAATAATGTATTTGAGAAGTTTCAGACACCATAAAAGCAACTGAAACTGCTACTTTGCTTATCTTACTCGGATCGGTTCAGTCCAGTGATAGACAGTGAAATGTGCCTAATGCAGAAAATGTTATGGCTTTTAAACAACAAATACTACTGAATGTGACTGTCTTTTAAGGTTCATGCTTTTAAAGTTCTTCTGACACAACCCTGTTTGAGGTGATAAACACTGTGTCCCTTCTGCATCTGTTGTACTACGTGACAGAAACCTCTTCCAAATGTCTGGCTGAATGACAGGTCTTTCTTTTGTACGTGGAGGTCCTTGTGCAACCAGCTTACCAGAGTATTCACCAAGATCTTCATCCTCTCACTGACATCAGCCATCATCTCACCCTGCTTAAAATCTGCTAGCATCATCCCTGTTCCTACAGAAGCAGCCACCAATAACTGTGAATGATTACAGACCGGCTGCACTAACAGCAGTAATCATGAAGTGCTTTGAGAGATTGGTAATCTCTCAAATTTGAAAACACATTATAGACAAATGCCTTGATATTATCGCATATACAAACGGTTGGAAAGGTACAATTAGCTTGATAACTTTTACGTAGCAATAATAAACTGTAAGTGGTTTTTCATAATTTCTCCAGTAATGAAAGCAGAACCGATCACCAGATCAGAGCTTATCAATACTATGGTCTTTCATACTTTAGCCCCAGAGCTCATTTAATACCGGGTTCAGATACCATCCCTTACTTACAGAAGAAGCACAGAAGAATCAGTTACAAATCCATGACAGTATATCTTGCATCTGCATTTTCTAAAATTCATCATAAGTGGAGGATTTATTTTAAAAACAACAATGAAGAACCAGTTAAAAATAAATCTTGGTTTATTTATCTTAAAAGTGTTACAGCCTCTTCTTCAGCTTCCTGAACAAGAACGGTTTGTAAAAAGCTTCTACTTTCCTTCATGAAAGAGTAAGCACACTACAAGTGATACATGCATTATAAGACAACTGAACATAATATGAAACTCATAAGAGAGTACGATGATATCATTTATGTCATGAAGGAACGCAATATACAAGGATTAAACTTTCTGATATTGTTCTTTGAGGAGGAACTTCGTCTTTGTGTTGATCTGAATCGCACAGTTGAATCTGCTGGTTGTGAAGATGACGATTAACTTTATTCACTGTGAAAACTTTAGATAATGTTTCTTTGACCTATCACTTGTAATGTCTGGTAAGAACAGATTTATCCAGATGATATTTTATTGCTTGATGCATTATTGTTTCACATTTGTTAAGGACACAGCATCAGATCTGAAAGTGCTGGATCTGAAGATGATCTACTTACTGTGAATGTTTTTTGTATGACTGTGTAAAGAAGACGATTGACTGAAACACTTCCCACATGCAGTGCAGTGATACGGTTTCTCTCCAGTGTGGACCCTCTCGTGTCTTTTCAGATTTGCTGAATGACTGAATCTCTTGTCACAGTGTGAACACTTGTATGGTTTCTCTCCAGTGTGGATCCTCTCATGTCTTTTCAGATTTGCTGAATGACTGAATCTCTTGTCACAGTGTGAACACTTGTATGGTTTCTCTCCAGTGTGAATGTTCATGTGTATCATAAGGTTTAAGGATTTTGTGAAACTCTTCCCGCACTGATCACAAGTGAATGATTTCTCTCCAGTATGAACTCTCATATGCTCTGTAAGTTGTCCTTTTTGTGCAAAACTCTTCCCACACTGATCACATGCGTATGGTTTTTCTCCAATGTGGATCCTCTCGTGTGTTTTCAGATGTATTGACCGACTGAATCTCTTGTCGCAGTGTGAACACTTGTAAGGTTTCTCTCCAGTGTGGATCCTCTCATGTCTTTTCAGATTTGCTGAATGACTGAATCTCTTGTCACAGTGTGAACACTTGTATGGTTTCTCTCCAGTGTGAATGTTCATGTGTATCATAAGGTTTAAGGATTTTGTGAAACTCTTCCCGCACTGATCACAAGTGAATGATTTCTCTCCAGTATGAACTCTCATATGCTCTGTAAGTTGTCCTTTTTGTGCAAAACTCTTCCCACACTGATCACATGCGTAGCAATATACAAGGATTAAACTTTCTGATATTGTTCTTTGAGGAGGAACATTGGTTTTTCTCCAATGTGGATCCTCTCGTGTGTTTTCAGATGTATTGACCGACTGAATCTCTTGTCGCAGTGTGAACACTTGTAAGGTTTCTCTCCAGTGTGGATCCTCTCATGCCGTTTCAAATGTTCAGCTGTATTAAAAGTCTTTTCACACTCAAAGCACATGTACTCTCTCACACCAGTATGTATTTTCTGATGAACTTTTAAATGTATTGGCTGTGAAAAACTGTTGTTTCTTCAGGACTGAAGCCCTCAAAAATAGTTTACAGCACTGATCACATGCATACAGTTTCTCTCTAGTGTGGATGTTTTTCTCCTTAACTTCACTCAGTTCTTCATTCTCCTCGTTTTCTTCAATCAACTCTAAAATAAAAGTAAAAATGGTTAATTTTAAGTAACTTGTAAAAAAGCTGAGAAATGTGGACATGAATATTAACCCCGATACAACAGTGTAAAGTAAATACTTGTTATACAAAATTTTGGTAATTTTGATGCATTTTTATAAATTATACATCCCTGAATCTTCAAATTATTATTTTAAAGACATTATATGCAAAATTCCATATTTCTGTAAGAACAATTAAATATGTTCGATCCACTACAAAAATGATCAGACAATGTTATTGAAAAAAGTGCTCAGTTCAGAAAGTGTCTCTTACAGGGCTCCAGACTAACATTTGAGAGCAGTGGCACCAGACCCAGTAAGTTCAACAGATGGTGGCACCAGAAGCAGGTTTGCTATCTCTGGGGGTATCGAAAATAAAGATAATTTAATCATAAAATTACTAGTGTTTTGCATTAATTGCATTAACTATTGTTGTGCTACGTCCAAACTGATTGCACTGTATTTGATGTATAATCAGTTTCTATTCTTAACTGTTTTCATTCATTTTAAATAAAATTTTAAAAGTTATTAAATTCCTTGTTTTATTGTTGTGATTATTTTACTTTTATGCAAATAACTTTGAATTACCATTGTGTATGAAATTTGCTATATAAATAATCTTGCCTTGCCTTAAAAATAGTAGTTATTATTAATATTACATATTTATTTCTAGGTAATTCACATTTGACAGTAAAGCACTAAGCTTGAGTTGGGAAGCATAAAAAAGTACTTTTATTAACAACATTAACGTGCAAAATCTCATTTTTACATAGAAAATTAATATATTCTACTCTTATTAAATGAGCCATCAGTGGGGGATTTAGGCATGTGAGTGAGTGAGTGAGTGAGTGAATGAATGAATGAACGAACGAACGAATGAACAATTGGGTTTTTACTGCTCATTTGTGCTCAATATCATGTCACCGTGTTCGTCAATTAATGTGTGATTAATGTGTGGTTTGGAGCTACAGCGGAGACTGGATAGTATAGTGAATGTAGACGCTTGATATTATTTAATGTTTATTTTATTCTACTTAAGATAGCGTTAAAGTGGTTAAGGCTCACGTTTTTCACTCGGCCGGTGTGAAAACGTGCTTTTTTCAGCGTTAGAAAGCTGAAAAAGCAGGGGTAATTCTCTAATAATAAGAATCTCTAATAGTAAGAATCTTCAACTTGGTTCATTCAAGCCAAGGTATTTATTTGCATAGCATTCACAATACACATCGTTTCAAAGCAGCTTTTAGTAAGTTCTGTTACCTCTATAATGGCTTAATTCTTTACAAACTGAGCAGTTTTACTGGGCAAGATGACGATATACAGGTGCTTCTGGAGTTGGTGGGATTTTCAAATCAAGCTCAAATCAAACTTTTTTGTCAACAGTATACTCAAAATATCACAAGAGAGACAGTTAAGTCTATAAGAGTTTTAGAAACTGAAATTTTGAAACTTCAAGATATAGCACAATTAAGTGGAAATCAAGCTTTTATTGATTCTCTTTTTTTTAAAGAAAACTGCTTTATCTGACTTACAAGAGATGAAGGCGCAAGGCGCACTGGTCAGATCGCGTTTTAAGACTGTAGAACAGATGGATGTACCATCTAAATTTTTTTTCAGTTTCAAAAAAAAAGAATGGCCAAAAACGGTTTATCCATTCATTATTTTCTGAGTCTGGATCTTTGTTGTCTGATTCTAAAGAAATAAGAGAAAGGGCAGTTAGTTTTTATGAAAAACTTTATAAGTCTGAATATAAAGAGGATAAGGATATAGAACACGTTTTTTTTTGAAAAATTACCAAAACTATAAAAAAAGGCAAATGTGGAGCTCTCAAAACCTATTGGATTGGGAGAATTGTTTAAAGCTTTTCAAGGCATGGAGAGAGTATATTTTGGTAACGAGACAACAGCTCAAAAGAATTGGATTGGAACAGTTGAAAAGATTAAGAGCCGACTCGAAAAATGGAAATGGCTTGTAACAAATTTATCATACAGAGGACGTGCTTTGGTTATTAACAATTTGGTGGCTTCTTCTTTGTGGCACCGAATGGCTTGCATTGATCCACCGGCTTACTTACTTGGAAAAATCCAGTCTGTTTTATTAGACTTTTTTTGGGACAAGTTACACTGGATACCACACAACATCTTGTATTTAAAAAAAGAAGAAGGAGGCCAAGGACTTATACATGTACAAAGCAGGACTGCAGCTTTTCGGCTACAATTCATACAACGATTTCTCACTAGTTCAGAAAACTTTGCTTGGAAATCAGTGGCCTGCACTATTCTTAAATCTGTTGACGAACTCTGTTTGGATAAACATTTATTTTTGATGAATCCAAAAAGAATTAATACATCAAGGCTTCCTGTTTTTTATAAAAAAATTGTTTAAAGTATGGGACCTTTTTAAAGTGAAAAGAACTGAGAATACAAATTCTCTTTTTTGGTTATTGGAAGAACCCATGATTTATGGTGCTCGTCTGGACTTTATAGATATGTATGGACTATCAAATTAGGTTTTTATTAAATCCAAGATCACAACATTGGGGCGATTAATTAATGTGACTTGTCCAAATTTAAAAAATGTGGAAAATGTGTCTAGTTTATTAGGTATTAAATCAATTAGAATTGTTGAAAAATTTATTCGGAAATTGCAAGCTGTGGTTACAGTTAAAGAGTTGAATATGCTTGATTCTTTTTTTGTCAAATAATTTTTGCCTGAGGATAAAGATACTTTTCCTAAGTGTTTTTTGTCCCCAGATTTAGGGGATTACTCTGGAGTTTTTTTTAGAAAATGTACCAGATATGGATTTATATGAAGTTAGGGGGAAAAAAATTGACAATGCTTGTGTAAAAGCTTTCAATAAAAAAGGCCTACATGAAAGAGTTGATTCACCCTGGCGCACTATCCGTGAATTTCATGAAGATGTAAAACCAGAGTGGAGATCACTATATAAGCCACCATTAACAAAAAGAATTGGAGACTTACAGTGGAGAATTATACATGGCATAGTTGCTGTTAATTCTTTTATTTCTATTTTAAATCCAAATGTTACACAAGAATGTCCTTTCTGTTCTCAAAGAGAGACTATTTTTCTTGTATTTATGCATTGCTCAAGACTTAAGCCGTTATTTGTTGACTTGATGAAAGATATTTTTATTTGTTTTGATGAGAAGTTTACTGTACCAGGTTTTATTTTTGGTTTTAAATATACCCGAGGAAGACAATATGAATGTCAATTGATCAATTTTATTATAGGCAAGGCAAAAATGGCAATATATGTTAGCAGAAAGAAAAAAATTGAACAAAAATGTGATTATACTGTTGTAATGACGTTTACGGCTATGATTAAATCAAGACTTCTAATTAATTTTTATTTTTATAAAACTACAAATTGTCTAGAAGTCTTTGAAAATATATGGTGTCAGAGGGGCATTGTGTTATGTTACTGAAAAGGAAATTTACTTTTCACTTTTTCTATAAACATGTGATGTATATTTTAAATGTAATGGTTTTATGTTTGTAAACAGTTTCTGTAATAAATGTTTTTTGAAAAATCAAAAATCTCTCTCGCTCTCAATTTCAATTTCAATTTAAGAGGGCTTTATTGGCATGACAAAAATTATACATTTGTATTACCAAAGCAATTGCAGCTACACATATGTATTAACAGAAAGATAAAGATAATAATAGTAATAATAATAATATATAAAAAGTATTAAGCATGTAGTGCAAAATGAATTACTAATGTATGAAAGTATATAAACTAGAAATAAAAATAAAATAAGGGATTAGACATATTTACAGAAGCGTAATATAATACAGTAATTTGACGTAATATAATGTAGATGTGCTGGAAACATCAGATCAGGGAAGGGTGAGTGTTTACACTTCTGTGGTGACAGGCAGACACATATTCAGCAGCAAACACACAGCAGTTCTTCTGTTCTCCTAACAGATACGGCAGTTCCAGTGAGTGATGTAGTTTTGTTTGATTTGTGCAGTAATCTGACTGATTCTGATGTTGTGATTCAGAGCAGCAGTAGATGTTAGTGAAGCATCAGGACTGAAGCTCTGGATCAGCTGAGGGAGGGGCTTGCTTTCTTTGCTCATCTTCTTCTTCTTATTATTAGTTTTTTATTGGCGGCTCGCAATCCTTTGCTCATCTCTTGGTATTGCAGGGCTTTATAATGATATGATTGGGGGTCACTGAGCTTCATATGTTTCCAGAATTTAAAGCTGCTTCAACACTAACTGCGGTTACTGAAACCACGCCTTCTTTCTTTGCGTTGTAACTTCTCTTTCTTTTATTTTTAGATTAGCGACAAAGGAGGGTTCATCACTAAGATCAAATAAAGCAATTTATGAACTTCAGCAAACAGTCTTTTTTTGTTGTTGTTGTGATTTATTCCCCCAATGCTAAATGGGTTCAAGTGAAAACTAATTATAATCTATACATAATAAAGAAACTAATAAACAAAATCAAGACCTTGTCCTTGATTTTACACCAAAGAAATAGTCTATTAGTTCTTATCTGAGAAAGGATGATCCATTCCGTGGCAAAAATTAGTTACTCTTTCCGAAGAAAACATTGAGTGCGTTGAAATATGTTGATCTGCTTTAGCGTGGACAACTCCGACTAGCCTATGAATGAGCCTCCACAAAGGAATCAAACACAAAGGCACATCCACTCCAAACAGTATTTGAATGAACACCGTTACAATTAGTTATGTATCCAAACACAGCTTTGGAAGTGAAATGAAATGCAAAGGAAAAAAGTCCTTCTGAAAAATAGAAAATACCAAAAACCAAACATAAACATTCCTCCCACATTCTAAATAAAGAATTTAGACAATATTCAAATATACTCACGTGTCGAGCTTAAAACCAAAGGTTTCTCAACTAGGACTTTGTCAACCAGAAGTTCAAGGTAGCACAAAGAAACATGTGTTCCCTCTACCCAAACTGAACTACTTCTTCAGGCAACTACTCACCTGATATACAATCTAGGTGTGACCACCTATCGCCCTCTAGTGCCTCATATTGTTACCCCACATAGAATTTTTAATTCCATTACTCCAAGTATATGGAAAACGGTGACAGAAATTTCACTCTGTTACAGCGTGCACATTTGACCGGCATTATGCAAATATTTCCACATAGTGAGGTAGATATGTGGGGGCGTGTTAGAACGAGTCGTTTTAGGGGGGCGTGGCAGAGTCTTAACTTTGATAAAGAATATCTCTTTGGTTTTGAGACTTTAGTCTTTGCAACTTCAGGGATCTTATCTATGCACAATCAGCCTGTAACACTCCAAAGAGAAAGCAAAACTTGAAATCGCATCATATGACCCCTTTAATAAATAGCCATGGTTTTGCAACTCTAACCAAAGTGTTTTAGCAGTTAGCCTATATCAGTACTACTGTAGTGAAGGAGACTGAATAATGAATATTTACAGCCTCTCAGAAAAATTTAAAGAGATTTACATATTAGTCCGTTTTTTTTCTAAGAGTATGTAAGACGGTTTTCAAAAAAATATTAATAGTAAATGGTGGCTTTTTCTGTGGTGATTTGTGTGTGTTTACACTGTGTGCTCCTGAGCGTGTCCTAAAACATGGAGGAATCCAGCGTGGCGTGATGTAGATTACCATTTTCTATAGTTTATGTACGACCTCAAAGTATTTATTTAGCGTAAAAAACAAATTTAGTGGTTTTGAAACCTTGACTTTTCCAAACCACGCTATACCTTGAAACCGGTTATCGTCCCATGCCTATACTGAACTGACCGGCAACTTTAGTAATTAAGAAACGCTCCTGAAGTGTGATTCAGTTGCAAATAAAAGAAAAGTTTGTGTGTTTCATTGCATTTTGTGACTTTTTACATCATGAACAAAGAGCAAAACATTGACCAAATTTGATTTCTTGATTATTTTATATTTTATAATAGTGTGTTTATAATTTCAAAACATGAAGCAAAAAGTAAAAGTGAATGACTAAGTGCTCCTCTGCTGCCATCTACTGGTTATAGTGGTAATTTGATGTATTATTATTTTTTTTAAATAATTGTTTTGTTTACCACAAAATGTATTTGGTTATCCCATTAAAATAACATTTAAATTGGATCATTTTTAGAGCTTTACAATGCTGTAAATAGTTGTGCTGTCATTGAAAAGTGCTTGAATTTCTCTCTCAAAAGGTTGTACAAACCCTGTAATAAAATTTGACTATTTCTGCCATAACACCATGGCATGCTGTAGTTAGCATTACTTCTGGTTTTCTACATCAGCGCGGTTTGTTCTGTTTATAACAGATAATTCTGTGCAGGATTCAAGCGCTTCTCTCTGTAACAGGGTTTCTGCAGACATGAACAGGGCTGCTACCAGTCAGATTAAATAATTTACACTGCGAATAACAATAATTACAACTGCAATAAATAATGTTATGAGATTAATGTTTTAAATGCATTTATGAATATACAAATAAGAAATGTTGAGGGGAAAAATGCATACTTTAACATACTTCTCAACTGAACTACCAGTAAGTGACGGCAAGTCACTGAATGAGTGAGTATTGAGTCATTCATTCAACTGATTGAGTGTGTTATCATGCTGCTATCTTAAGGACTTTCGTGAACAGCTGACTCCTAAAGTTTTTGATATTCTTCATATTCTGTGTGGTGGTCAGATAGAAATTAATCTTTTCCAATATGTTTAATTAGATTTGACCTTTTATGGGCATTTTACCTTTATAAAGCCATATTTCTATAAGTGTGCATTATCTTTTGAGTCAAATTCTTACATTTAATCAGTGAATTAGAATAATAACATTTGGGCTGTTACCAAGCAAATGAAATCAGTATCTTTGCAATCCAGACATAAGCTGCACCTGAAGTGGCATTTAGATGTGTTTACACACCGATTAATGCAGGACATTAATGCATTTAACCTGCAGTTACAAATGCATAAATAATGTTTTCATATATTAAACATAAAACGTTGAATACTGATATTTGAAATCATTAAAAAAATGAAAAGATACTTTAAACGTGAAATTAAAACCGCCAGTAGGTAGAAGTAAGTCACTGTTAAGTGAGTAATTGCGACTGAACCAAATCATTTAAACAGTTGATTCATTCAGGAACGAAACACCGTCATGTTGCTCAGTCATATTCTGTGTGGTGGTCAGATAGAAATTAATCTTTTCCAATATGTTTAATTAGATTTGACCTTTTATGGGCATTTTACCTTTATAAAGCCATATTTCTATAAGTGTGCATTATCTTTTGAGTCAAATTCTTACATTTAATCAGTGAATTAGAATAATAACATTTGGGCTGTTACCAAGCAAATGAAATCAGTATCTTTGCAATCCAGACATAAGCTGCACCTGAAGTGGCATTTAGATGTGTTTACACACCGATTAATGCAGGACATTAATGCATTTAACCTGCAGTTACAAATGCATAAATAATGTTTTCATATATTAAACATAAAACGTTGAATACTGATATTTGAAATCATTAAAAAAATGAAAAGATACTTTAAACGTGAAATTAAAACCGCCAGTAGGTAGAAGTAAGTCACTGTTAAGTGAGTAATTGCGACTGAACCAAATCATTTAAACAGTTGATTCATTCAGGAACGAAACACCGTCATGTTGCTCAGAGACGCAAAACAGCACTGTGGCTTTGTTTGGAATAATTTTTGTTGCCGAAATAGAAGAACACATATGATACCCCTAAACTCCAACTTTGGGTTAAATGTAAACTCCATCATTGGCCAATCTTGAAACCTTACGAAACACACGGGTCCTTGGGGGGAAAAAAACAACATCTTGCTTTGATATGAGATATTATTAAGTCTTGCTTTTAATAAAAACAAGCGCTTTTGTATCATTAAAAACATTTTCATCCATTTTATAGCATATGAATGATTGAATTATATCTCTGTTGTTTCAAGGGGAAAAGCATGAACTGTTTATGAATTCCATTTTACAGATTAGACAATGAAGACTTCACAATATTGTTATTTCTGCAGCATGAGAAACAAAACGGGCATTCAAACTGGGAATAAATAACGTAAAGAAACACAGTGCTCCAAGACTTCAGTCTAAAACTGAGTTCTGCATATTCTCTGTGATTTGTTATAATGCACAACACTGCAGACTGCGCTCAAAAATAAATTTGATGCAATGTAATAAAGCAAATCTACCATAAATTAAATTGAGATATCAACACCTTTCATTCATTTCACGTTACACATTTCACATGACAGCTTCTTATAGCACTACTACAAAATATCACCTACATGAAATCAAATGTATTCCTTTGGAGTCGTTCACAGACGGCACACACAGTGTTCAGCTAATAAAAATCCTCAGCGCAGACCAACAGCAGAATTTGCAGATTTAGCTTCAATTGTCTGAAGGTCTTTATGTTCTCCCTGTTCTTTAATTTCCAGGTACTAATGAGAAACCCCTTCAGACGATCCAGTGCGTGCAGGGAACTGAACAAATCCTTTTAAGTGATTCGTGAACAAATGCACACCGTTTTGCAGGCTTCTTTATTCAAGACCTTGAACAGAATCGACTCAAAAGAGTGATTCATTCGTGAATGGGGCATCGTTCATGACCCAGAGTGAACATTTGTAAGGTTTCTCTCCAGTGTGGATCATCTCATGTGTTTTCAGATTTGATGACACACTGAATCTCGTGTCACAGTGTGAACACTTGTAAGGTTTCTCTCCAGTGTGGATCATCTCATGTGTTTTCAGATTTGCTGACTGACTGAATCTGTGGTCACAGTGTGAACACTTATAAGGTTTCTCTCCAGTGTGAATCCTCTCGTGCCGTTTTAAACAGATTGCTGAAGTAAAAGTATTTTCACACTCAAAGCACATGTACTCTCTCACACCAGTATGTATTTTCTGATGCACTTTCAAATATTGTAAACATGAAAAACTCTTTCCACACAAATAACATGAATGTGGCTTCTCCTTTGTATGTACTCTCAGGTCTTGCTTCAGTTCTGAAGCCCTCAAAAATGTTTTGCTGCATTGATCACATGTGTATGGTTTCTCTCTAGTGTGGATGTTCATGTGATCCTTAAGGCTTGATGATTGTGAGAAACTCTTCCCACACGGATAACAAGTGAATGGTTTCTCTCCAGTATGAACTCTCATGTGAACATCAAGATTTTGTTTGCGTGTAAAACTCTTTCCACACTGAGTGCAGATGAAAGATTTCTTGGCTCTTCTTTTCTTTAAATCTTTCTGTTTGGTTTGAGAGCAACTCAAAGGTGTTTCTCTACTTTTGACATGATTTCTCTCCTCAATTTCTTCACTCAGTTCTTCATTCTCCTCATTTTCTTCATTTAACTCTGAAATAAAAGTAAAAATAGTTTATTTGCAGTTAATTGTGAAAGGAGAAAAATAATGCACCCTGATGTAAACATGTATATCTTTTTGATGCATTTTTATAAATTGTCTCTCTGAAACTTTAACTATTTGTAAGTATTATAGACACAAATCCCATGTTTCTATAGAGAGAACTATTAAATATGTTTGATCAACAACAAAATGATCTAACATACATTCATTTTAGGGCTGCAACAACTAATCAATAAAATTGATTATCATCGATTCTCATTATCGATTAGCCGGGTCTGCCCACAGTGCAAGTCGCATCAAATTACATCACTGAATCACGCATTTCTATGGACTAGTGATGGGAAGTTCGGATCATTTTACAGACTCGGACCTTTGAGTCTCGTTCAGCAAAATGAACGAATCTTTTTCCGAGTCATTTCATTCATTTTTAGCAAAATACAATTAAAATGTTACGTGTTACTTCGTGTTACTACGTGTTACTAGGAGAGTTATGTGATCCAAGATGCCCAAAACATGAGAATTCTTTATTTTTGAGTTTTATCTTTTTCGAATCCATTCAGCCGTTCTCCCGGTCTGGCGGTAGCACTTTTAGCTTAGCTTAGCATAGATCATTGAATTTGATTAGACCGTTAGCATCTCGCTCAAAAATGACCAAAGAGTTTATATATTTTTCCTGTTTAAAACTTGACTCTTCTGTAGTTACATCATGTACTAAGACAGACGGAAAATGAAAAGCTGTGATTTTCTAGGCAGATATGGCTAGGAACTATACTCTCTGTCACGGCGCGGTCAGGAATCACACCGTGTGAGCAAGGGTTTTGGGTCCAAATGCAGGTTTTATTCACTGCCAGGGAAAACAAAGGTAACAAACAGAAACATAAACAGAGCTAAGACGCTTTTTATAAATTATGTCTCTCTGAAATTGTAACAATTTTAAGTACTATAGACACAAATCCCATGTTTCTACAGGGAGAACTATTAAATATGTTTGATCAACAACAAAATGATCTAACATACATTCATTTTAGGGCTGCAACAACTAATCAATAAAATTGATTATCATCGATTCTCATTATCGATTAGCCGGGTCTGCCCACAGTGCAAGTCGCATCAAATTACATCACTGAATCACGCATTTCTATGGACTAGTGATGGGAAGTTCGGATCATTTTACAGACTCGGACCTTTGAGTCTCGTTCAGCAAAATGAACGAATCTTTTTCCGAGTCATTTCATTCATTTTTAGCAAAATACAATTAAAATGTTACGTGTTACTTCGTGTTACTACGTGTTACTAGGAGAGTTATGTGATCCAAGATGCCCAAAACATGAGAATTCTTTATTTTTGAGTTTTATCTTTTTCGAATCCATTCAGCCGTTCTCCCGGTCTGGCGGTAGCACTTTTAGCTTAGCTTAGCATAGATCATTGAATTTGATTAGACCGTTAGCATCTCGCTCAAAAATGACCAAAGAGTTTATATATTTTTCCTGTTTAAAACTTGACTCTTCTGTAGTTACATCATGTACTAAGACAGACGGAAAATGAAAAGCTGTGATTTTCTAGGCAGATATGGCTAGGAACTATACTCTCTGTCACGGCGCGGTCAGGAATCACACCGTGTGAGCAAGGGTTTTGGGCAAAGATGCTGCATACATGCAACATGAGCAGTTTTTAATCTAAATTAGGTTGTATAGTTTCGAAATTTGAAGCAAAAACAGAATGATTTGACTTAGTTTAGTCAAAGACTTAGACTTAGTATAGTTTTGTGAAACTATACATAAAAAATATCTGCATGAAAGCTGAGCTGAACGAGATGCAGATTCACTCTCTGCCAGCAGGTGGCGCTTTAAGCGTTTCCTTGGTTTCCGCTGTAAACAAAGCAGCGCTGCACTTATGAACTTTAATATGCATTATACAGAGGCAAGAGGAAAAGAAAAAATACCATCTAAACTTTTCTAAAGACAGTAAGTTCCCCTCCAACATACATTCATATAAACTTCTACCCCTAATTGTGATTTGTTTAGCATCTCAACCGATTTGAATCGTCACATATTTGAATCGATTTTCACCCGGCTCGCAGTTAATCGTTACATCCCTATTTATTATTGTATATAATTTTGCTTCATGATATGAATGATATCATTGTGCTTTCTTATGAGTTTCATATAAAGTTCAGTTGTCTTTACTGACAGTCAAACAGCAAAAGAATGCCAATGTCTTTTCCTCACATCCTTTGGCTGGCATTACAGTAGTTTTGATCTCTCTATCATTGCGCCGCTCACAGCTGAGCACGGATGGTCTGCAGGATCTGATGATCAGTACTCGACTCCATCCTCCTGCAGATATGTGTGAGACTCACTTCATTTGCTGCCTGTTTTTGATCCGGTCAGTAACATGCTTGTACATGATCAGATAGAGCTTTATAAAGCGGAGAGTTCCAGTCCTTGATTCTGATTGGCTGAGCCACGCTCGAAGCGGTTGTAAATTACTACGTCTATGAAATAACCATTTTATAAAAGCAATAAGCCCCAAGAAGCCGTTGTTTACAGTGAATTTATAACAGCTAAGGGGCGTTGTTAGGGGCTTATTGCTTTATTTGAACCCTTTTTATCTTCTGTCTAGATATGCACCCTTTTTGCCCTTTCTGTTTCTTTATCTAATTTTATATTTTAGTTTTTTAATTTGGCCCATGGCATCAGTTCTCAGTGAAACGTGTTGTAATGTCTGACATCTAATTCTGTGAGATGCGTGAGTTTCTCTTCACAGCCGGCACACACTTAAACAGCTAAGGGGCGTTGTTAGGGGCTTATTGCTTTATTTGAACCCTTTTTATCTTCTGTCTAGATATGCACCCTTTTTGCCCTTTCTGTTTCTTTATCTAATTTTATATTTTAGTTTTTTAATTTGGCCCATGGCATCAGTTCTCAGTGAAACGTGTTGTAATGGCTGACATCTAATTCTGTGAGATGCGTGAGTTTCTCTTCACAGCCGGCACACACTAAAGAAAGAAAGTCTACAGAAGCTTTTATTGAGAATTAACAGAGGTTTAGATGTTGATGTTTTATTTAAAACAGCTGAAACATACTGTTTAGTTGCTGCAGAAAATTATTTTTCTTCAAGTTTGTATTTATGTTCATATATCTATACATGAGGTATTTGCTTACAGAGAGCTGTGAACAAAGCAGTCAGTGGAGAGGCGATAGATGGTGATGACTGAAAAACGCTGGGTTTATTACTGAGCACAGAGAGACAGTTTAATGGCTGATAGGATCCAC